TGCAGAGAGATGCTCCAAATATGGAATATGAAGCTTAAGTGTGTCTAACAAGTGTTCAAGACCTGTGCCAAACTTGTTCTGTTATGTAATTATTCATAATTGCTCTGCGTCTGTTATGTTCTGCATCTTTGCTTTTTCTTTTTCGAATGTATCTTTGCTTTTAAACAAGAAAGGGGGGGAAAAATAAAATAGTATATGAAGATAATAATTATTACCTGGTGGCCAAACCGGTGTTGGAGCAGGAAGCTTGAAGGTGGTATCAATGGGAAGACTTTGATCCTTCCTGGTAAGACAATTCCCCATCTCTGTTTTTGATCAAAACGAAAATTGAATCCAAAGGTAAGCTGAATATAATGGTCTTATACAATAACTACGGAATTTGCGTGGAGCATATTCATTTCATGACAGAAGAAGTTTGAGTGAAAACAAAAGGGTCGGCCTAATTGATGATGTGTCGTGCAAGGAAGCCATTTGATCTCTACATGCATATAATTTTCTCTTTCTTGCCGTTCTTGTTAATGCTACCTTGTTAACCTCGAATCCTTCTTCAAGATGCATGATTTTTAATTTGGATGCTTGACTCTGATTTAGAACAAGTGCCAAAGGGATCATATTATAAATAAGTAAATAAAGATGCAAGATTTTTAATTTGGGGACATGTCTTTTTTGGGGTTTGTTAATGAGGATATATCTGGCTGTGTAAAAAAGACATACACATAAGTAATTGCTTGCCAATAAACTTGGATTTTCAAGTTGCCAGTCGTTAATGAACTAATCCTCAAATAGCTCACTTTCTTGTGTTTTTCATTTTTATTCTTGAAAGACTCAAACATCTCATTTTAAGCCAACATCGTTAAATACGCTCAAGGAATATTTTTTGTTGGTTAAGAAAATCAACTGCGAATTATTTCTTTTTGGTTCTTGTTTATCTGTTTGCTGTTAGGTTGGAAGCTCTAACTTGAATATCAATATAAGTTTTTTTTTTTATGGGAAAAAAATGACTATATGAAGTTACAAGGGATTTGACTTTTGGGCTCATATCTTGTGATGCAAGGGGACATGTTCGGCGGTTTCGGCATTGAGGGTAAGCGAGTAAAAGACATAAGGAAAAATTAGAGAGAAGAATTTAAAGGGTGTGACATTTATTAAACAAAATATTAAAAATCGTAACTATTTAGATGGAACAAAAATCAAAGACTAAAGTAATACTCAGTACTCTAATATTATTTCCTTATAATATACTATCTCATGTCCTAAACATAAGAACTAGTTGACTAATTTGAGTAGATTAAGAAAATAAGTTGATTATTTGTAATAGATAAGTGTTGTTTTTCTTAAAATATTCTTGATGTATTGGCTAGAATTATCATTATTAAAAGGACTACCTTGAAAAAATATATAAATATAAGAGACAAAATAGATTGGGGTCTTATATTTAAGATCAAAATAAAAATCAAATGAGGTCTGATATCAAAGACTGAAGGTAGTATACATCGAGCATAGTAATCTTATTTATGGTGTATCCATCTAATAATATTATAATATTATTTTCATATGCATCCAACACCTCCTCATGTTACTTTCTGATGGCATGCTCCAGCACTTTAATTTTATTTATGGTTTAAGATTTTTAATGAACTATAAATGAGATCATGGTGTTAGAAGTATCAGGAAAATAATATTGGGTTAAAAGTCATTTTTATTCCAAAAGTTTTTTTTTTTAAAAAAAAAGGGGATAATCAAGAAAATCTGTTTTTAAAGCAATGTTATTCAGAAGTTAAAAAATCGTACCAATGTCAACCTTGTCCTGTAGATACAAATATCATGCGACATAATAAAAAACTTTTTTAAAACAATGAAAATGAGAGAGGGACCGAAGACGAACACGTGATGTGCCTTCCATCTATCCCCGACCTTTCTTCCTCCTGCAATGCCAATCCTCGAAGCCCACACGATCTGATCTCTCACTTGTTTCCCTAAAGATCCTAACCTTATCCCTGACGGCCGACCATCTGACTGAATCGTTTTCTTTTGGAATGCTTTGCAATTAATTATGGGTGAAGATAGGGCGATGATGTTCTGGAACCACGAGATTGCGACGTCGGCAATTGGAAGGATTCTCCTGTGTTCATTGCAGAGAGAGGTCCGATGAGGCATCTGAATTATTGATTTGAATGAAAGAGCCTAAAATAGATGGGTTATTAGAACCATCGATTTCGAGGCATAAATATCGGCAACTTGCTTAGAAGCTTACCCAAATGAGTGGAAGGAATATATTAAACATCATTAGCAAGCTCTTGCTCAGTAATCACTTTTCAATTAACAGAAAAGGGGAAAAAAAAGAGAGAAGAGAATCAACAAACGTGCAATCACAAGGCGAGGTCCCATGGAGCGTGATGATCGATAGATAGTGTCGGAGTTGATCATCACGCCGACTTATGATAACACAAAGGACTGAAGGAGGGGTCGAGATATTGGCGGCGGCAACGGATTACTTTTTTAATATCATTTTCATTAATCCATTAATTACTAGTAGTTTAGAGAAGACTATAAATTCAACAACCAATTCATTTATTGAGCTGCGGTTAATGATGGTGATAGAATTATATGGAAAGGCATGAATAGGTTTTAAAAGCTTCTGTCTCCCGATACTTTTTTATACGATTCTTTTAATTAAGTTTTATGATTTAAAAAAAAGTTAGAATTAATCAAAAATAAAAAATATTTAAAATTAAGATTTCTTTCCGTTGTAGTGATATAAAGAATAAAAAAAATGTAGTATAAGAATAAAATGAGGAGGAAAAATAGAAAATTAATTGGAAATAAAATTGATTTAAAAAAACGTATTTAATGCTTAGGTAATAGATATATTTAAACAAAATTTTATTAAAAAATTACATTTGAAATCTACTCCCTTATAAGCTAAACTTTATTGGATGGACTTAGGGTTTTTTTTTACAAGATAATATTAATTTTTGTTTAAGCATTTAATAAGTTTTTTTTATTAATTTTACCTCTATATATTCTTTTTTTTATTCATTTACTGCATCTTTTACTTATTCTCTTCATTAATAGGGACAAATTTAAAAGAAATACATGCATTATATATTTATTATTTTAAATTAATTTTAACTAGTTTCTTGATAAACATAGATGAATAAAGTTTATTTTACATTTTGAAATGGAGGGAGTATAAAATAGAGTACTAAATGGGAAAAAGGTCTCTCCACTCCCTTTTTCCTTTATTTCCCTTCATTTTTAATCTCAATCATTAAAATTATAATCCGAATAGTCCATATTACAATCATATAAAATATATTTGTAAAATATATTTTTTATTATTCTTTTAAATTATAATGAGTAAAATTTAGCAGTTTAATTTTATTGATTTGCTTTTTAGTAAAATTAACATTTTCTTTGTAATTTTATAAACTATATAATCTCAACTGTCGAAATTGCAACTATACGTCCTTACCATTGAGATGAGAATTAAAAAAAAAATAAAGGAAGAAAAGAAGCGGAGACGTGTTTTTGCCGTAATACGTGGTCGATACGCCAAAGCCAACTAGACAGAGACATAATATGGAGTGAGAGGGAGAGGGGCCATGGGTAGAAAAGGAGGAGGAGGGAGAATTAGTTGCCGGGAAAGGGGGAGTAATTTCAGAAAAAGAAAATGGCGGGACCTGCAATTATGTTCTCTGATTTTTTTTACCAATTTCATGTCAGATGAAAGTGCCTCCATTTAAAATATATCTATTGGATAGAGTTTGAATGAGGTGTACTCCTAGAGTACCTGAGAATTCCTCCCTGATCGAGTCAATTGGATACAGCTGGACAGTACCGTACACTCTGATCATTTCAGCCTCATCTTCCCAAGGTCCTTCATATGGCTAATCTTTCTTTCTCCATTCTGTGGACACGTTTTCTTCTGTGTTGACTTCTGTTTCTCACCGGAGTCAGTCTCAGTCGCCGCCATGCTTCAATCCTCAACTTGAATTGGCATTCCGTAATTTCCTCTCTTAATTTCCTCTGCTTTTCCATTTGATTATTATCATTTGACCTCATTTTCATCTTCCTTTGTTTGTTACTTCTGTTTCTGCCTTTCCACGATTGTTCATTCTCTACTTGGACAGATTCAAGGTTGGTCGCTCTCTGAAGTTTCTGTGCGCACAATAATCTTCATCCCTTCATTACTTTACTCGATCAAATTGCATGCATATGGGGGAAAGGTAGATGATTTTGTATGTGCGGGAAAAGTAGATTAGATTTATTGGCGAAAACTCAACCCCCAAACTGTGGATCTGTATATATGACTTCAATTTTAATTATTATCACTTTGGTTCAGTCTCTGTATATATATTGCATATGCAGGAACAGCAATAATGAAAAAGATAGGTGGTGGAAGGCCAAAGGATGATGATGTGCGGCTACACGTTGAGGTATTGGAGGAAGGACGAAGATGGAAGTGTAAATATTGTGAACGGGAATTCGCAGGAGGTGCTAGCAGAATCAGATCTCATATTTATGGAGAAAAAGGCAAAGGCATTCGAGTCTGTCCAAAATTTGTTTCAGACAAAGGAAACTCCAATGATCTCAGAGACAACCTCCAACATTGTCAACAAGGAGGTTACGTGATTATATATTACTATGCTCCCTCCTATCTTTTTTATAAGTCATGCAGAGGGGATTTTTTCTTTTTGTTTTTTTGCCAGCTTTTTTTTAAAGATATCATTTGTGATATTCATTACATTTCTCCCACATTGCCATTATTTAATGTTGACCCAATTGTTTACAGTTACGCTATACCATAGGTTTAAATGAAGATAAAATCAATTAGATACTCCTTTACTTTTCAGACAGAGGTGAAGAGTTTTAACTTTTAACTCTTCCCTTAGTTCTGGTAAATTTTTTTACAAGTCATGCTCAGGGAATTTTATTTCATTTTGTTTATATTTTTTTCCTTATAAGAAATCTCACTGGACGGTATAATAGATTATAGCATGCTGGACGAAGCAGGACAAATCCAAGCTGATGCCAAGTATCGGGAAGGGGTTCGAGTTGTTGGGTCTTCTTCTGTTTCCGATGGGGAGAATGAAGACTTGAAGGTTATAAACTATGTGTTTGAATGCCTAAGGTTAGATTCATATTTCTGACTGTATATGTGCTTCTAATATGTATAGGTGAATGTATTTTATTTTTTGTTTTCTTTTTTCAAATCACTCTAATTCTATGTTTTGATAACTATATCATTTTAATTAATTCTTTAGTCCTGAAGATAGGGTTTTTCGTTCCCCACTTTCATATTTGTCTCAAGAAGAATTGGCCACGCTTAGACCAGGGGCTTTTTTGGATTCATTGGTGAGTATTTATTTATTATATTTTTATATTCTATTTTAATATCAATGACAAAGGTTTTGGTTATATTAATAATATTCAGTTTCACGCATTCTTAGGTAATAGATATTTTTGCGGAGATGTTAACCCATGTTGAGCGAAAGAAGAAAATTACACCTTCGAATTGGTATCTTCCTGTGACATTTTCGGTGATTTCCTATTCCCTTCTTTGTTACATGATGCATGTCAATAGTTGTTTAATCTAAAACCAGTTCATTGACAATAACTCTTAATGCTTCATCCCTAATGTAATTATAGGAGGCAGCACTCAAATGCAGCATAGGTCGCTTCTTGGATTTTGTCCATCGCCAAAAAATAAGAGAAAATCATATGTCTGACCTGGAATCCTGTGAAAAGGTATGTGTTTTCAAGTCTTTATAAAAAAAAAAGTTTCTTTATCACCATGATTACTTTCTTTTGAAGGAATTGCAATAAAATTTTAAGGAAAAAAAATTATCCGTAAGTTTCAATGACTAGTGATCAGTTGTTATTTAGTATCATAGAACTTGTCATTGCAAACTATTCTATTGTCATTCAAATTTTTTAATAATTATATTTCTCACTTGGGAGTTTATAGCACACTCCTTTTTTTCCGGTATATGCCGATTTGATTTTTGTCATCACGAATAATAGGTGTTTATTCCTGTTCACATTGGAGCAAAGCCAAATGGTGGACATTTTTATTTATACATTATTCATTTGAAGAATGAAGAGATTGAAATATGGGATTCGCTACTCAATAAATTTGTGGCTGAACCAAAACGCAATGAGATAACAAAAAAAGTGGTGAGTGTTAAATAATTGCAATATTCAGAATATTAATCGATTAATTATTCTTTTGATTATATATAATATTTTATTTATATCTAGTTGCTTGCGATGGAAAAGCTGTTCGTGAAAGTAGCATTTACAAAATTTCGTTCCAAGATGGCAAACGACATCCTTCTACAGCCGAATGAGTGAGCGAACAATTACTATTGTATACAATTATATAAACTTTACTAGAAAAAGTTTTTATCATAACCCTATCATACATATATATTTATGCGTTTTAATTTGTAGAATTGACTGTGGCATCTTTGTTGTGAAGTTCATGGAACAGTCCCATAATTACGTGAAGAGAAATTCTTTATTTCAGGTACACCTCTTGCAAGGATATTAGTCCTAGACTCATATAGTTAAGCACTCTCTTTTAGTCATATAGTAAACGATACAGACGGTCATGTGCAGTTCGACAGTAAAAAAGAAAGGGAGGATTTGGCTTCAAAGTTGCTCAACAGTGATCTGAACCAAGAAAAACAAAGTCTACATGACAAAGCAAGCCAGCACTATGCCCAAGTTGAACCGCAAGATGGCAATAAAAGATTACGAATTGACAGACTGAATAAGTATGATCGTTTAGAAAAAGGTATGAGTATCAGCATATAAAATATAGATCCAACTCAATTTATTTGTCATTTATGAAAACGTACTAAAATTAGTTGAAGTTTTTAAACTTTAAAAAATTGTCCTAAATTTTTTTGGCCGAAAAAATTGTCATAAGTACCAGTTCTCTTAGCCACTCTCTTCTCTATAACTTATTGGATTACTGAATGAGGGACAATTGCGGAAAGAATATTTAACGCTGCCTAAATTCTGTGGTGACTTACATTTTGAATTCTCGAAATTTTTTAAATTTCGATTTACAAATAGGGACGGATAGAGTATATACATATATTGATATATATATATATATATTTATATATATGACTACTTAAAATTTGAATGCCATATATTTAGTTTCATTTTTTTTTATATATTCTTCGTACTCTCTTTACTTCATTATTCATTACTATTCTTGTTGCTAGGATCTTCCAAAGGTTATATATTGCCTACGACAGATTTAATAGGTGAGAAGTTTCAAAGCAATATTCAAGATATATGTAAATGGATAATGGATGACGAGGTGTCAGCAATTGGAATCTGGGGAATGGGAGGGTCAGGAAAAACAGCCTTAGCAACCCATATACATAACAACCTTATTTTAGAAGCTAGTAGTGACATGAAAGTTATTTGGGTAACCGTATCACAAAATAGCATCTCCCATTTGCAAAAAGTGATAGCCAAATCAATTGAGTTGGATATATCTGATGAGTTTGACGTTAAAAGAATTTCCGGAAAATTATTACAAGCATTTAAAGAGATGAAAAAATGTGTTGTTGTTTTAGATGATGCTTGGGATCATTTTTTTCTAAAAGAGGTTGGATTTCCCATATCAGGTAATCGAATTAAATTGATTTTGACCACTCGTATAAGGGAAGTGTGTCAAGGTATGGACTGTAAGGAGGTAATAAAAGTGCAATCTCTATGTGGACAAGATGATTGGGCTTTGTTTGAAAAGCATTTGGGATTCCATGAAGAACCGTCTTTGGTAGTGAAAAGCATTGCACAGATAGTGGCATGGAAATGTGAGGGATTCCCCCTAGCGATTGTTAGAATCGCGACAACCATGAAGGGGAAAACAGAGGCTAGAGAATGGAGTCATATGTTGGAATTTCTTGAAAACTTGGGCAATGGACAACATGAAATGGACAAATGGGTGTTTCCAATTTTGAGATCAAGCTATGATTTCTTAAATAGCAAATTGCAAAGATTCTTCTTGTATTGTGCTTTAAGTACCAATGGAATTTTTGGTGACAACGATGCTAATCGTTTGATAAGAAGATTTGTTTATGAAAGCATAGATGAGACAAAGAAGTTGAGGGTGCAGTATAATGAAGGTTACAACATGTTGGATAAATTAAAGAATCATAGCATGTTGGATTATTATGGTAGTAAATGGATGATAAGCAAATTTCTTAGAGTCCTTGCTATTGGTATTGCAGAAGAAACTTGTAAAATTATGGGAAAAGCTTATAAGAATTTGACAAAAATACCAAGTGATAGCCAATGGAAAGAAGATCTACAAAAAGTTTTTCTGATGGGAAACAAGATACAAACAATTCCAAATGGAACATGTCTTAAGTGTTCTCAAGTTTCAACATTGCTTTTAAACTGTAATGTAAAACTCAACCACATTTCAGATGATTTTTTCAACAACATGCCCGCTCGTGAAATACTTGATTTGTCTGAGACTGGGATTAAGTGTCTACCCGAATCGTTGTCCAACTTGAAATGTCTGATTGCATTATTACTTTCTGGATGTAAAGAATTGAGTTACGTTCCTTCATTAATAAAATTGAAACGCCTAATATCACTGGATCTGTCTTTTACTGCCATCACTGAACCACCTGGGGGCTTGGAATCATTGGTCAATCTTAGATGCCTATGTCTACTCCCTACAGAAAAGCTGAAAATGTCAGCATCGCTCCTATCCAAATTGATCGATTTAGAGTGTCTTGAGGTGGGTTGGGCCCACTGCTCAACGGATGCAATAGGACAAGGTACACCAGTTTTGGAAAATTTGGAAGTTACAGAAGCCTATTTTCGTGACATTAACGTATTCAATAACTTTGTGAGCTTCCTGGCCCATAATTGTGTAACCAGAAGCTGTCGATTGACTTTAGGGGATGCAAAATACGTTGTTAGCCGGCACTATATTCATCAATCTTATGATAGAGAATATTCCGTGAAAAAGATACTCATTGAGGATATGGTCTTGGGAAATGAAAAAGTAAGACTCCCAGGAGGCAACGAGATGTTGGTTATCAAGAAATGCAGCCCAGGGAAAGGTAATAGATCCCTATGCAGTGTTTTATCATATGGCCACAGCAATAATCCATCCCAAACCGAACTGTTGGAAATCAGCTTCTGTGAAGATTTGGAGTGCTTGTATTGTTGTAATTGCCCCTTTTGCTCCTCTTCCCAACTTGTTGGAAGTCTACACCTCGAGGACATGGAGGACCTGAAATATTTAGTGTCACCATATGCTAATTCCTTGCATCAGTCCACCCTATTTTCGCATCTCACATATCTCTCTATTAGGCTTTGCAACAGCATGGAGGCTTTGATGACACCCAAGTTATTGGCACACCTACAAAACTTGCGCACCATTGATGTTAATTTTTGTCGGAAGATGAAAGAAATCGTTGGAGCCGAAAAGGATCATTCTGAATTGGAACCCACAGCTGGTGGTGGCGACCTGATGGATCTTGTACGTGAACACCTCCCTCACCCTCCTATCACTCTTCCCAAGTTGACATCTCTCAAATTACGTGTCATGCCACAATTAGATTTCGTATGCAGAGGCCTCATGCTCTGCCCTTCCCTCCAAACATTCTCTGCTATTAATTGTCAGCAACTAAATCAGCCTCTGATAGCGATCTCAAATGATAGAAGTGGGCTTCTGATGGAGAAGACCCCAACTGGATATCATTGGCGAAGTAACACTGACTAATCAGGTCCATATCTGACTTCTTTTATATTATGTTTATGATTCTGATTGAATCTCAGCAATTTATGAATATTGTTAATGTTTTTGTGTACTTCTCCTCATGCTTCAAATATACTGATGAGCTTCTCATCTCTAATGACAGAGTGACGAACTTTGAAAACGTAAAATTAGTTTATATTAGAGCCAAATAATCATGTTTCTTTTGTTTATTTCTCTCTGGCTGCTTGTGTTGTACATGATTTCTGTGATCACCACTAACCTTGCACGCTCATATCAATCTCAAAATTGCTGCCAATAAAAAAATATTAATGTTCGAATAGTTGAAATTTTGTTTGTTATAAATTATATCAAATAGAAATAAATTATAAATTAGAACGTGATCATCCCTTGATGTGTTTTATTTGAATGTTCAAAATGCGCACTGCGCAATACATGATGTTAATCATTGTGAATATATTTCATCTCTAAGTTCCAAATGATATTGTCAGTTATTTAATCAGTCACAAAGTATAGTTGCAAAGTTGTTTGTTAATTATGTAACATCTCGAATTTTTAAATTCCGGCAAAATAAGGAAAAGAAATTTATTAAAATTATTTATAGACTAAAAAAATTTGGGAAAAATTATGGAAGATAAATTTCAAGGACTTAGAAATTGTATGAAAAGGTTTATTTTTCCAAAAAGTGGCTTTAAACAATTTAAAAGTTAATTTGAGAGTTAAAAGGACCTATTTCTTGAAAATTTCAGAAAAATGGTTAGAGATTTATATTTAAGATAAAAAATTTAGGATAATTATTTTATGAGGTAAAGAAACTAGTTGAGGCATAAAATCTTTAAAATGAATTAAGGATTAATTTATAAAATTAAGGGCTATTTTCTTGAAAAAGGCAAGAAAAATAGTTAGGAATTGATTTTTGACCCAGAATTTTTAGGAAAATTATTTTATCAGTCAAAAGAAGCTAATAGATAAGGAAAATCCGTATAAAATATTATAGATTAATTTCTGAATTTATTTTATATTTCAGAAATTAGTTGAAAGGATGAAAGCGAATACAAAACTTGTTGAAGGGCATACATTTCTCACCCCTTTTTTTTTTTTTATTTGATTAAACGCATCTGCTCCTCCTTCCATCATTTCGACTGGAGCCACAGAGAAAAGAGAAAGCCGAGAGAAAACGTGTGAGAGGGAGACCGTGACAGCAGAAGCCATCCGAGGAGTGATCGGAGGCAGTTTCCTTGCATGCCAGACTAGTTTCTGAACAAAGTCAGTCCTCAGATCATCGTTCTACTCTTCTTTCTTTGGTTTGCTATGTGTTTGAAGAGTTAATGATAAAAGAAGCTTGGGTTCTAGGGAGAGAAACTGTTGGTTAAGTGCGAAACTTGATGATGAGGAAAGAGTAGTGTTTGTTGATGATAATGGAGTATGATTTTTAGCTTGCATGTGGATTTCCTTGCTCTGTTTTTGGTTGGCCGAAAAAGGGGAAAGAAGGTTGTTTGAACTTTTAGCTCAGAATCTATTAAAATCAAGACCCCTAACAGTAAAAATCTCATTGCATGTGAGTATGTTGGATTGCATGTTGTTTTCTTCTTTCGTTTAGTGGAGACTAAATGGGGAGCAGAACTTGAACTCCTTTCCTTATGCGTGTTGTGATGCTGTTTAGGGAGATTAGATGGATCAATGAATGTGATAATTTGAATGCTAAATTAGAATTCGAATACATAGCTATAAATCTGGAAAATTTCCCGATCTGGAGTAAAAATTATGAGTGTTAGAGGACAATCACATTGATTGCATATGAGGCAAATCTCAAGAGCTTGAATGTGATTAAGTGCTAATCACAAGAGGTTAAATAGAAAGAATAACTTTGGAAAATAGGAATTAATTTGAAGTTTTTGTCTAATAATCCTAAAAATGTTTTGCACTTATTTTGGATTATTACAGTTGCCTAGAGATATTAAAAGTTTGGTTTGATTATTATCTTACGCCTGGCAAATTTTTAGATTATTGCTCAAGTGGGGAACAAAAGGAAAAGAAGTTTATATATGGTAATCGGATTTTATACACATAAATTTATATACGTATGCAAGTATTGATTTAAAGAAATATTGGGATTAGATGAAGGTTTGGTATTTAATAAGTACAAAGATGGTTCTTTATGCTAAGTAATTAACTTAGCTAAATTAATTCTGTTTATAAGCTGGAATGTTAGTTTTTTTTTTAAAAAAAATAAATTAGGCTTAAGTTGCCCAAAACCTGGAAGGGAACAAGAGTACTTATCGGTTAATGGAATTGCATTATATAAAGTGGGATTTATATGTATACCCTATGTTTGGGAAAAGTTTTCAAAATAATTAATGAAAGAATTCTGTTTTTTTTTTTTAAAGGAGCAAACTGGCTTAGTGGTTCAAAGTAAATAAAAAACCCTATGGTGTAATTAAAGTAGGTATTACACCATGCGTCTTAATTACAAGGCCATTTTACTCGCAATTCTAATTCTAATTTTAATCTTTTTAGGTAATGTAATTTCCAGGTCATGGTTCCACGGAGGGCGACACGGAAGCCTACCTAGCATTCTTTAAATAATCATTTAAGAACTGCTTTTGATTCTATATTTATGCTGAATGCTTCTATGTATATTTGTCTATTACACTTTTTTCATTAGCACATTATTTATGATGAACCTTGGTTTAATTTGTAATACATTATACTTGCTTATAGCAGATGACATTTAGAAGCTTTATCCAAGAAGTTCCTCAAGTATCTTAAAATTGGTTGTACTCAGTTTCCATTTGTTGGACAACATTTTGGAGAGTGATTTCTTTCTATTTATAAGACAAATTAGAAAATTTGACAATTATTTAATACTTTTTTCTAATATGCTCCTTTTGAGAGTATGAAATTATGACTTGCTATAAATGATGCCTTTCCCATTAAAGGTTAGCTGATAAAGTGGGCATGAATGGAAGTAGGTCACATAAAAGAATTTAGTATAGTTGGTGTGTGAGAATTTTCCTTTAGTCCTATAAAGAAGAATCAATGGAGTGATTAATTTTTCATAAATGGCAAATGAACCTCCCGACGCACTCTTTTTTTGAATTAAAGTTGCTGACCTGTCACTGGTTGGTATTGACTGCCCGTTAATTGATGAGCCAAAGAAATATTACATTTTAAAATATTTTTATTAAAATTCTTATTAATGCTATAATTTTTAAAAGTCAAACTTCATACAATTTATTACAAGTAAACTATTCAAATTAAAAGTGAACTTCTGAAGATATTAATATTTTAATACTGTTTGGTGCCCTTATTATAATGGGTCATCATCTAGAAAACTAATTTACGCATACCAAGAAATGACAGTATGTGTTTCAAAATTATAAAAATTTTTTAAATATGCCCTTATTTAATAATGTGATTTACATGAATGTTTGCTAATAAATATTGTAATAATATTCTACAGGTGCTATTTATAAGAGCCCAAAATTTGAATTGATTTGGTTTTTTTTTTAATGAAACCCTACTAAGAATTGTCTAAATATTAAATGTTTTTGTGCCAATTTTGTTCATAATTTTCTCTCTTCTCATCTTTTAATGATATTTCATTCTTTTTCATCATATATCTTATTACTAGTATCTCTCTCTCTTATTTGTTCCCTCATTAAATAAGGACATGCTTGAAAAAGGAAGTTTAATTTCTACATATTTATTGCTTTTAACTAATTTTAATAGTTTTCTTAAACTACATAATTTAGTTAATATGATCTTATAAAAAGAACCAGCCAATAATGACCACGTTGACCTCTTATAATAAAAACCCAGAGGGAGTATTTACAAGTCAACATCTAATATTTACTCACCAGTTGATGAAGTTTGAGTGGTAAATATTGAAGTACTTCCTCCTCTTCTATATATAAACTTCAAATAACTAATTCACGTATAACAAGCAATTACTTAAAAGTAATAAATCGGTTAAAAATATAATATTATTTTCAAAATACCTTTATAATAAATGGGAACAAGAATAAAAAAATGTGTGAAAAAATATGATAAGAGAGAGTATGGAAAAGAAAAATAACTAAATAATTAAAGCCAAAATTAAAAAAAATACGCTAACTGTTAAGAAATTTATTTCCGCCTAAACGAGTTATCTATTGATTGTGAGTCAAGCAGCAATACTGTCATTGGGGTTGCTCAATCAATCAAGTAAAAAAAAAAAAGAATAAACATAGATGCCTTTTGGAATAAAAATCTCCTTCAAAAAAGGATAATCAAGTAATTTCCAGAAAGCGGCACAAATCATCCTATAAATTTGTGCTTCATCAAGTCTTAGAGCATCCATTGAGAATTTTCGTTTAGGTGCTTGCTTAGCTTCCTATTTCTGATAAGCTTCAATGGCGGATAAACCAGTAACCGGGAAGACTTGGACAGTGAGTATGGTTTTGTTCTTCTTGTTGTTGTGTTTTGTTCACATGACAATGACAGGTCAAGATAAAGTCACCAAAGCTAAGGAACTTGAGGTTAAGAAATTTTGAAGAAGGTGAACAAACCAGCCGTTAAGTCTATTAAGTAGGGCTATGCAAAAAAAAAGGAAAAAAAACCGGTAGTTTAGTTAACCAGGTTTGACTCGGGACGATTTCATCTTGTTTAGTCCGGTAAAAATCAGTCGAATCATGAAACCAGACCATACTGACTAATCAGGCTGGAGCGGGTTCCAAACCAAATATTCAGACCACTGGGTATGGTCTAGTCTGGCTCAAGTATTTGTTTTTTCAATTTATTTAGACTATACGCTGTCGTTTTTGACACTCTCAAATCACTTTTCACTCTCACCCTCACTCTCAAGCCTGAAGACGAAGAAGAGAATCCCTAGGCTATAACAGTGGCTGCCTCCCTCACTCACCCTCAGTCCTCGGCGTCGCTCACATTTGGTTCTCCCCACTTGGCCAAGTTTTCAGCATCGCAAACTTTTTGCCTATTCTGTGGAGGTATGCAGTTGCTCCACC